GAAGAAGAAGAAGAAGAAGAAGAAGAAGAAGAAGAAGAAGAAGAAGAAGAAGAAGAAGAAGAAGAAGAAGAAGAAGAAGAAGAAGAAGAAGAAGAAGTAGATGTCGGATTCAAATCTCGCACGAGCCCTTTGAAAGAAATAGGTCAGTCGGGCCTTGGACGACCTCTCAGAGTCAACGCCTTGTCTACAAGACAGCCCAGAGATGCTTGCGATCAAAGACTTGCAGCTGTTTGCCTCTGACCGGTTCATAAGAGATGCCGGAACCGCATTCGAACTTGATGGCTCATGTACGCGAAATGCAAGAGTTAATGATTGCGTCTTGCAGTTTATGGTCACAATGCTCGGCGTGGAAACCTACAATCTGCTGGACATTTGAAAGAAGAAACCCGTCACCGTACTTCCAGCTCACGAGCCTCATGTTTGGGATGTCTTTGTTGAGCTCTTACAGCAGTGGGAAAGCAAGTCCTGCAGTGACGGTCGGCGCGAAACCCTGTGATATCTTCCAATCATTGGAAAAGGCTGTGGAGGAATTCAGTCGGAAGAGAGAAGAGGGCCACCAGCACAGGTTTGCATGTGGGCTACCTTCCTGGATACGACGGCGCTCGATTGGCGGTTGGTAGAAGGTCGCTTGCCACGCAATGCAGGTCTTGCGGCCAGCCACATGAAGAGGAGACAGCGCCTAGCAAGAGGGTGCCTGGCAGAAGGTGGTGACCGAGCCAGCACACCAAGGGCCGCGGGCGATGCGCTGTCTCACAACAGCAAACACCATCTAAAGCGCCAATTGAATGTCGTGGAACTCCAACAATAGCGATTGGCCATTGAATCGATCTTCTGGCTTCTTCCCATCAAACTCCCAAGCGGCCGTTTTATGCCTTTCCGCCCTCCCCCAATGACACATGCTAATCTGCATACCTAGACGGCGCTTTGTACATTCAGCTAGCGTGCCATTCGTTGGCGTTGACGGTGCAAGAGATTGTAAAAGGCTCTGGAGCTGATGATACATTTTTTTTCCATCTACCAGACGGCTTCAATCGCGATACATACTGCCGTGCCCCCAAGTGTGTTCGTCGATGATCATGGCCGGAGTCACCCCCAGCGCCTACCTTGATCTACTGAGGTCGGAAAAGTACTCAGATTTTACAATCGCCTGCAACGGCGTCGAGTTCAAGGTCCATCGAGCCGTTGTTTGTCCAGCCTCCCCGTTTCTAGACTCGGCGTGTAACAGTGGCTTCCAGGTACAACAGTCTTTGCCCTTCTCCCGCGCGGAACCCCCATCGGCATTTCAATTTCAATTTTCAATATTGCTGAGCTTGGATGGATATTGACGATGGGATATCTGAATAGGAAGCCACGTCGCGAAGGATCGAGTTTCGGGAAGATGACCCCGGAATCGTGGCGAGAGTCGTGCTCTTCCTGTACACGAGCGACTACGATGCCAATCAGATCCCCACTTTTAACAAGCACAGTCACGGCGGTGTTTTTCCAGCTCAGAGGGACAGATCGGCGTCGTCTTGTGCTGAGTCCGCCGTCTCTTCAGAAAACTTGGCCGCCGCTGAGAAGAGGAAGCAAGAGGAGGTCGTCGAGGCGCTCAAAATCAATGCCCTCGTCTACAAGTGCGCCGACATGCTGGGCATCGAGAACCTGAAGGTCCTAGCGGCAGACCGCTTCCTGGCCGACGCCATCGGGCTCGTGGGCGACGACCAACTCGCCGAGCCGTTACGGGTCATGTACGAATCGACGCACGCGACCGACGAACACCTGCGCCTGCCCGTAACCACACTGTGCATCCGGAACCACGACACGCTCTCCAAGGCCGCGGTCCAGGTGATCCAGGAACACGAGCACAACGTGTGGTCCGTGACGGTGCATCTGCTGCAGGAGGCGCAGGACCGGCACCTGGAGGAGGCGCGCAGGCGCAAGTCCGAGTGGCACATCATTTACGACACCGTGACCAAGGTCAACGACGTGCTCGCGAGCCGGTGTGCGTCTTGTCATCGCGACGTCTCCCGCATCCTCGTGCGGCCCGACAATTCCATGAAAGGCCAGTGTCGCAATTTCTGCCGGAGCACCCGCGATGTAGATTTCGATGCAGACCCGGTAGCGATCTAGCGATCGAGTGAGTCTCGCCCGCCAGCTTCACCAGGAGAGTTCTGGTCCGTGGAGTGCGAGTCAGTTACCTACGTACCTTCATTAGCCTGGTTTCAGGTATGTAGGGGTTGTTGTCTCTGTAATATCTATAGTATCACGCACGAACACCACATCCCCCGCCTACGACGGAGCACACACGATAATACCAAGCACCAAAGACGGGCTTCCTGGTGGGAGGTGGTAAGACGACGAGGACTCCGTGACGAGACGAGAAGAGGGAGGAAAAGGGAAGGGAAAAAAAGGAAAAGCAATCAAATCAAAATCGAGGCCGAGGAGAGCCTTTTGTGGCTCAGTTCGGTTCGCTCACTCGCTCATCCTTGACAGTTACACATCGCTGGGGTCGGGGGGAAAGTTCTCCTTTCTATTTCCGTTTCCATTTCCGTTTGCCCTGACGCTGGTCCGCAGCGGACGTGGCATGGTTTCCCGTCCTGTCATATGTAGGTACATCGGTACATAGGTACATTGGTATGTGGGTGTCCAGGTAGGAAATCCGGACTCCCTCGCGTGGTACAAGTCATGATGGACTCGTTTATTCAACCTCGACAACAACTCCCCTCTCCACAATCCAATCAATCAGGCCCTGGATCGTCCACCTCCCCTCCCTGAACCTCTTCCAAACGGTATCTTCCCCAGCCACGTTGCCCACGGCGTCCTCCAAACCCTTGACGCCGACCATACCTTCCCTCTCTCTCCACAATCGCTCAGCCTCTTCGCCGGCCCTCCTGACCATGAAATCTTCGTCTTCTGCGCGGTACAAGTCGCATTTGTCACACTCTTGACACTTCTGGCCGGGCACAGGGCGAAAGTGTTCGCAAAAGTGTCGATAGCCTTCCCCTCCTTCAATGTTGGAGCCGGCTTTGCCAATATTTTTGCGGCAGAGATAGCACATGCTATACCCGCAGACGCAGGTGAGTTTGTTGCAGCCGGATGATTTCACAAACGACGTTCCACACCGTGGACACGTCCTCTTGATTGCTGCAGTGCGGGCGGCTTCGACGGTCGTGCGGAGCGAAAGTATTAATGGTTCGTGGCAGACGTGCGGATCGTGCCACGCCTTTTGGCATTTCAGGCACGACCTCCGCATGCAAGAAGGATTGCGACATTGGAAGCGCGTAGTGCGAGTTTTCACGGCGAGGTGTGCTAGCGATGTGTAGAAGAGTGTGACGAAGTAATGGGGGAAGATGAGAAAGAAAGGCAAAAGGAAGATAATGGTGGTTGGGAGGAGTTCAAGAAGGAGGATGAATAGAATGGTGTGAATGCCGGTGGTGGGTTTGCGAACTCGCCACGTTATGGCAGATGTGACAGTCTCCGGATCGTAGATTTGTTCGACTTCGGCGTAAGAGCAGAATGGGCAGCGGACGAGAGGAAGAGCGGAGTGTTGCAGGCTATGCTCGGCGAGGCGGTCTTCGAATTTTCTCCAGGTTTCGCCGCTGGACTTATTGTCGGAGCGGCGGAGGGCGCGTTTGAGAAGATCCTGAGGGACGTGTCCGTCACAATCATCTGCAGCCAAACATTTCAAGGTACCGTGCTCGACGTCGACGGATTTTGCCCACCCTTGTCCGAAAAGGGTCTCATGGAGAGTATGGCGCACACACTCCAGACAAATGACGTGGTTCGCGTGTGTGCAGAATGAGGCGTCTTCAAATGCCACATCGTTATAACAGACCTGGCATTCAAAGAGAGCACCCGCCTCTTCGGCTTCCTTTAGATTGAGGGCTTGGGCGAGCTCCAGGTCGGAAGCTTGTTGGTCTCTCGGTCTTCGAGACGACTGCACGGGGAAGGAGAACAGTCCTGATAGCTCCCGGTCAAGCTCACAGGACCCGGTTGTGATCAATCGTGGCCCTCCTGGATCCGCCTTTGTCCTTTCCAAGAGGACCGACGGAGGTTCGGTCTGAGATCTCTTCTTCTTGAGGAGGTTTGCAAACGTCGCTTTCCACGACTTGCTCGTCAATTCTTGGAGTGTCGGCCTCGCAGCAGTGTACGAGAAGTTGACTTCGGCAAGGACAGCGTCAATGGCACTCCTGCCCAGTGCACTGAATTCGCGACCGACCGTCCGCCGAACCGCATCTTTGTATTCTTTCGTCCTGAAAAGTTCGTCTGGGGGGAGTGGCTCGTCCAGACTTCTCGGCGGGACATTCAATCGGCCCTTAGCCCATTCTGTTTTGTATTTGTAGAGTTGCTCCGTGGCTATCGGAAGTCTACTGTCGCCATCGAACCGGCCAAGGAGTTCACGGAGGACTTCAACCTTGACATCCGGGAAGAAATCGGCGAGGACGAGCAGGTCCTTGTTCAAGGCCACCGAGGGATCTTCATCTTCATGTTTGTCTGCGGCGGGAAGGGACTCCTTCGAGCCTGCTCGGAAGGGGTTCTTTCTGAGAACTTCGGCGAGGGCGGAACTAGGGGACGTTCGTCGAGCGATGGGAGTGGGAGTGAGAGTCGACGAGGAAGCCTGCGCACGGTGACGCGATGACGAGGATTTGGAGTTAGCGGAGCGTTTGGATGCGCCCGAGTAAAGCCACATCACACCGACTGCTGAGGATCGATCTGAACATGGTGGTCAAGCAGGTATCGATAGAGGGACGAGCGAGGACAAAGCATTATTATTCTCTAGATCTTTGGGGATTACCAGGCAGTGCCACTGACTTGCCGCGCAGGCATGAGTAAGGTCAGTGAGAGAAAAGTAGACGAGTCCGTGGAGGCGGCTCGCAGCCTCCTACAGAGACCTTATTCCAGTTCTGGGCTGGTCGATGTAGGTGATTCCCTGCTTGTGCGTCTCACTATTCGCCACTCCCACTGACCCAATCAACCGTATTCCGTATTCCTTCGTAAATGTCACGACCACATCCATACATTCCCAAGGGACCAGGAAAACCAAAAAACAAGAACAATCCAAAAAAAGGATGATCCTTGAATTAGTAAGACTTATTATTATCTATCTACAAGTAGTAGTCCACTGCAGCGCTTTTTCACGCGGAAAAAAGAAGGGCTCAATCGGGATTCGAACCCGAGGCCTGTCACATTTCATGGCTTTTTCAACCAGAGGCCAACACCCGAAGCGACAATCATACCACTAGACCATTGAGCCGAATCTGTGTTTGATTTGGAGCACAGAAAACACTAGGTTTTGTGGTTGTGTAATATATAAAGTATACATATCGAGGCAAGAAACCGGGGTTCTCTCGGCCGTCCAGTTCCCCCGAGCTCTTCCTCCAAAGGCCCCATGAGGCTCACTCGGCGTCCATTTGGGCGGTCCTCCACCGCTGGACATGTCAGAAATCGAGGCATGAAAACTGCAGGGTTACTCAATTTAAGAGAAGAGAATAAACCTCTCCGTGTGGAAAGCCTTCTAACCATGTTGGTAAAATCCTCAGATTATGCTACCTGAAATCCAGCCAGACATGTTTCCGCTACATAATCTACAGCTTGGGCTTAGGAGCACCCAAGAGCTCAGCACCAGCACCGGCAATGCATAGCTTGCCTGTCTCCTTGACCTTGGTCTGGAAAATGATCTTGTTACCCTCCTTCCACATCTCAGTCACCAAGGTCTGGCCTGGAATCACAGTACCAGCGAAGCGGACCTTGATGTTCTTGAATAGGCCAAAAGTCTGGACAATGTGTTTGCCGCTGAAACCCATAAAGCAGAGACCGTGCAGGATAGGCTCCTTGAAGCCACCGATTTTGCTGAATTCAGGATCAATGTGAAGGGGATTCCGGTCGCCGTTGAGTCTGTACAAAGCAGCCTGATCTTCCGAGGTCTTCTCCTCTACGACGGCATCAGGAGCTCGCTTGGGCGGCTGGTAGACGATTGTTGCATTGCCCCGGTTGGCTCCTTTCTTGGGTCCTCCAAAACCACCAGACCCTCGGACAAAGACGGTGGATTCATTGTAGAAGACATCCTCTCCCGTCTTCGCGTCCTTGGTGACAGTGCCAGTCACGACAATACCAGCGTTGCCCTTATCGACAACTTCGACCAGGTGGGGGTAAGATACCAGTTTGGCGGCAGTTGGAATAGGGAACTTTCGAATCTCAAGATATTGTTCGCCATGTAGCAGCATCATAGGAGAGAAGTTGGGAAGGACCTCATCCATTGAGAAAGGCGCAACAGCACCGAAGAAGGGGATGACTCCAAAAGTCGGCAGAACCTGGAAGTTGTCGTCGTTTTCATAAACCAAGGGCAGTTGTGTTCTCTTTGCGTTGAGGGACAGGTTGTAAAGGATCACATCCTTGTCGTCATAGACAAACTCGGTGCCACTGGCTTGAGCCTTCTTGGCCTTTTCGATTGCTGCCAGATAATCTGTGCCAGATCCCGAGTCCTCTGATTTCTTGCTTCGGTTCTCCATGTTGGCCATAATAGATTTAAGACCGTCTTGACCGCTCTCAGGGTGATCTGCTCTGCCGTCGTCGAAATTTGTAATTCGGTCCCATTTCTCGACAACGTGCTCAGGCGTCAGTTTAACGTCCACAGGGAATCCGTGGCCGCCAGTTCTCTGCCAACGTGTACGTGCTTGCCATCCACTGCCGACTTCGAACAACAGGCCTGTAGGTGGCTCTGGGACTTTATCTGAACATAGCGCTAGTACTAGAGGAGCGACATATTCGGGCTTGAAGAGTTGCACTAATTCTTCGGGCAAAATAGTTCGAGTCATTTGAGTACCCGCGTTTGGTGCAATGGTGTTGACGAAGATGTTGTTCTTCCGGCCTTCTAACGCTAGGGCCCGAGAGAATCCGAGTATACCGAGTTTCTGTTCAGATCAGCACACGCCTAGGGTTAAATCTAAGAAACGTACCGCAGCAGCGTAGTTAGCTTGACCAAAGTTGCCATAGATACCACTCGTACTGGTTGTGTTCACAATTCGGCCGTATTTCTGCTTGACCATGTACGGGTATGCTGCCTTGGTCACTTTGTAGGTGCCACGGAGATGGACATTAATGATGTCATCCCATTGCTTGTCTTCCATATTGGCGAAAGCCTTGTCCCTAAGGATGCCGGCGTTGTTGATCAGGATGTCAATTCTGCCAAATGCATCAATTGCTGTTTTGACCACGGCGTCACCGTCCTCAACCGAAGCTTTGTTGCCGACAGCCTTGCCGCCAAGTTTTTGGATCTCTTGTACGACAGTGTCTGGGTTAACAAGGTCATTGACAACGACAGAGGCGCCGCGCCTGGCGAAAGCAAGACAGTAGCCCCGACCGAGACTGCACATGTTAGTTTAAGGTCAACAACGGAGAAGATAGGGGACATACCCAGCACCACCACCAGTTACCAAGACGACTTTCCCGTCAAAGCGGATGTCCTCGCCTTGTTCATTAGGTGGTAGTTTCATTGATTCTTCGGCCTTGGTCACGAAATCGGCAACACCATTGGGGTATTCCGGCTCGGAAAAATCGTTGACCTTATCCCACTTTTTCAAAATGGCGCCGGGAGTGTATGTCTCGTCGGCCTTGAGCAAGAGGCCCTTGGCACGTTCCCATCTCAACTTGGCGATATGACCTCCACCAACTTCGAAGATCGAGCCACTCGTATGTGTGTTGGAAGGGTGAACCAAAACAGCCACTAGCGGTACGACCCAGTCTGGCTTGAGGTTGGCGAGGACATCAGGAGGCATGACGGTCTCCGTCATTCGACTGGCGGCAATTGGAGCGATGACATTGCAAATGATGTTATATTTGGCTCCTTCCTTGGCCAGGGTCTCGGTAAACCCGACTTGAGCGAGTTTGGCAGCGGAGTAGTTGCACTGGCCGAAGCTACCAAAGAGACCGGCTGCGGAAGCAGTGTTGATGACCCGCCCATACTTCTGTTTCCTGAAATACGGCCACGCAGCTCTTGCACATTTGTATGCTCCTTTAACGTGAACGGTGTTGATCAGATCCCAATCAGCATCCTTCATGTTCTTGAAGCTGATATCGCGGAGGATACCGGCATTGTTCAGAAGGACGTCAATGCGGCCGAAGCTGTCAATGGCAGTTTTGATGATCTTGTCACCATGCTCGACACTGTCGTAGTTGGCCACGGCTTTACCGCCGGCGGCCTTGATCTCGTCGACAACGATATCTGCGGCCTAGGCGATGTCAGGAGATGCGGAGACAGTGTGGAGCATGTGACAATTTCAGACAAACCTTTGTGCCAGCACCCTCGCCCTTGAAGGAACCGCCCAGGTCGTTGACAACGACATTGGCACCTCTTGAGGCGAAGAAGAGGGCGTATGCTTTCCCAAGACCACCGCCAGCGCCAGTGACCACCACGGTCTGGTTGTCGAAACGTAATTCTTGCACCATCGTCACCTGTTCAACTGTCTCTCATGCGGATTACGGAAGAGGATTTCCAGCTCGACGTGACGAAGGTAGAAGGAGGGAGAAGGAAGAGCCGACTTTTTGAGACCTTGCGCCGATATAAAGAACTGCGGCCGTAACGGAGGGGATTGAAAAGGAACAAGCCGAAAAATGGTGCCGGTGGGATTGAAAGGGTAGTAGTATCGTTAAACAAAACACTGTAAGCTCTGCGATAATGTCATGAGTTTGGCTATTGGCATCCAATTGGAGGGCTGGAGGGCCTCGGTGTCGTCAGTCTGAAAAGGTGCCGAGGTTCATGATCACATGACAGCTCGGGATCCCCAGCCCAAGCCCAGCCCCACGATGCCCACGACAACCAAGACAACCAAAGACAACCTGGCATTTTCGACCACCTCCGCAAGCTTCCATCAGTGAGCGAAATCTGGTCCGAATCCCGCCCAGTTTTCGCCTCCACATCCTTCTATCGGCATGTGAAATTAAAGGTGCGGGTGCCGACCGGCTGCCCCGTCAAATGTAGCCAGGCCAGCAATGGGGCACACGCCTTGAACAGCTCAAGACCACACACCCCAGGGAAACGCGAAGCAAACATCCAAAAGATTTTATACGCGCTGACCGTCCATTGAGATATACGGCCTGTTACCGTGCGGGCAATCTCTGCTCAGCTCCATTGCGACCGGAGTCGTCTCCGTGCTTGGAGCGGGTAATCTTCTAGCCGCAACCCTCCCTCAAATGCTGCAGCTGCTGACAATTCCAATGAAAACTACGATGGAATTCCTTCCGTCTTCACTGTTCTGAGACTTCTCAAACTTGCATGAAAGGCTCCCTTTCTTGGGGAACAAGGGGACAAAGATGCCCGACATTCGCGATGACAAGGCCCAATACGTTGTGCCTTTCATTCTTTCCCTGCTCGCGGAACATCAAAAGGCATGTTCAACATCTTCAAATCCACCACCCTTCTTCATCGGCCTGAACGGCGTCCAGGGGGCCGGGAAGACGGTCCTCGTGGACATTTTGAAAACCACGCTGTCGTCTCCGCCCCATAATCTCTCAGTAGTGGTTTTCTCCCTCGATGACCTCTACCTGACGCACGCCGATCAGGTGGCTCTGGCACAGTCGCACCCAGATAACCCGCTGCTGCAGCACAGGGGACAGCCTTCGACGCACGACATTCCCCTCGCGCTTTCGGTGTTCGCGAGCCTGAAGCAAAACAAACCCACCAAGATCCCGCAG